GTCCAACGTGAAGCATTAATTAATCTGACATCTTGTAGCAAAAATTCTCATAGCAATATATACAGGTTTTTTTTAATTTTTGATATTCAGATAGGTCTACTTAAGCCTAAATACAGGTACTCCAGCCTACAACTCTATTTTGAATAGACAGCAGAACTGATAGAGTCTTAAACTCTGTGTATATGTATAATAGTAGTACCCTGGTAGTTCTTCTGTGTATAGCTAAACAGCTCCCAGGCTAATCGACAACACTCTACAAATAGTTGGCCCAATTACCTGGCAAAAAACATATCACTTGTCGGCACTACAAGGGTGCACAGTCCATTGTTGGTGGCAGACGCAATACCTCCACCATACCTTACAAGCCTGGTTAGCTTGCCACGCCGTTCTCAAAAAGTCGACATCTGTGTTGTCACGTCAAATATAAGAACCAATACCAATACAGGAAATGGGAGTGCTAAAATCATCACCATCTAACAAAAGCAGGAAAATATTTGGGTCTTGGTTCATATCTTGAGGAAATACTTGTCATAAAAAATTTCCAGTAATGCTTTTGAAGTTGAAGATAAAATGATATATATGGCAATGCAATTTTACCATTAAGTTAATAGATTTGTGACAATTGTCATCATTATTCAATGTTATTTCTACACTAGCCCATCAATTTATTATCCTAAAATAGACAGAATCCATTTATATTTAGCATAAAGCACTGGCAATCACGAGATTGGGTCCTCGATCTTTACATGTTTATATTGTCGGCTTCAAACAGAGTTTGGTAGATACAGCTCTACGTTCCAGCCATACCAACACATGAATGATGCATCAAACCCATGCGAGATTCTCTTTCGTACTTATGGAAAGATGGTTATATATTTTTAGCATGAAAATCATTTAATACATTTTTTCTAATAAAAGCCATATATGATATTTGTCTTCCCAGAATAACTTGCTTCCTATAACAGCTTTAATACTTCCTCTTGTGCTGTGTAAACCCATCTTGAGGATCAAGTATTTATGAGTTCCCCTTTAAGATCCAACGACAATGTTTTCATGGCCGATTGACGCTAATCAGATTTTCGTATATAATTACACCAGGTATTGACAGACAGATGAAATATTAATAAGGTCCCTTTCTTCGTCGCCATGCCTACCCGTCCAGAACCTCGGAAGTACGCACCATTGACATAAGACTTCCGTCCCCCCNNCCCCCCGGGGCCCCCCCTTCCCGAGATCAATATTTTCAACAATTCTTCTAAACACTTCCGTCTTTTGTGTCCCACTATTAATACCAAATGTCTTCACAATCTTATTTTCTATTTCAATATTTTATAAACCATTACAGATTGACAGTTCGCAGTACGATAAAAGCTAACCTTTAGTAAAGAACAGTATATCTTCACAGATCTAGTGTACGACTGTCCACCAAGTTGTGTTATATGTGAAGAACAAGTCAGGCAATGTTCCAACTTGTCACATCAGTAATATCATTTGGGTTTGTAAATATATATATTGTATTGGATCTCTCAAGAAAATGTACTTACAAAAATACGAAAAATCGATACAGCACTAGACAGAGTGCAGTAAATAATGTCTGTGCAGGTTGTGTAAAACGTCCTTTAAAACTATGGTACTTTCATTTCCAGACTTATGCAAATGTTAAATATTTGCACGTTACAGGATAAAGTTCAATGTACAATCGAATGTTAATCAGGCTTTAAAAAAGTTACCTTGACTGTCAACCTGCCTAGAAAATCTAAGATAGTTACCTGTTAGTGCAAAACTGTTAAATTGATACACTTTGTATTACAGAATTATTTCATAAACATTTTATACTTGAAAACATTTTGCATGCTTTTACTTGTCAGTTTTTAAATTTTACTTTTTTATTTATCTCATCAATTTGAATTTGTTCAATACTAAGAAAGCAATACTAAATATAGACTAAAATACGTCATTTAAATTTGAATATGAAAAGCCAGATAATCATCTTACAGTGAATTACATATACATGTCCTTATACACTGCGAGGTGTTACCAAATACTATCAAGGAAATCGTTCATTTGAGCCATTGTGTATGACTTCCCCGAATTAATGACTAAATGTAAACTTTATAACCCTTGCTGTACTTTACCAAGTAAAGGTGATTTGTGGTAATTTATTAAATGATGACAACTCTCTGCCCACGTCGGTTTGAGTCATGATCGTAATCTTGACTTCCACACCCAGTGGTGAAACAGAAACAAAGTGAATCAACAGTGTAATCCAGTCACAGACCGTGTCACGTCCTAAAATAACATACAATTTTAATATGTTTTAATCAACTTGTGACAGACTTTGTTACCTTCCTGATAGGTTTATAACACTAGGTAAATATCAGATTTACGTGCACTGGTATCATTAGGGAAACATGTTCTTAAATTAAGTTTTTTACATTAACACAAATTGAATCAACTCCATTCAACATTCATAAATGTTGACAAACAACATTCCCCAAGAAACTGTTGCTTTAGGTAACCTTGCTTTGTTTGTCTCCCTTGATTTGAACAATTGATATTCAAGGTCATAATGAAAGTCACAGAGAACGTACATTTTTTTTTTTTAAATTGTGTGAAAGTCACAGCGACCTACTTACAGTAAACTGCACCTTCTGTAGATACTGTAGGAATCATTTTCAAAGCTTCATCAAGATATCTTTAGCAGTTTGAAATTTACAGCCCAGACAAGACTTGCACATATGTAACCTTTGACCTTGGGGTGAAGGTCACAATTACCTAATTTAAGTGCATAGCACACCTTCCGGGGGTGATTCAGCTAGTATACTTCAAATTTCTCCACAGCATAACAGCTTGAAAGTTGCAGCCTCACTCAGGGCAACATGTTATCAGAGAGGACCCAAAACGAAAAGGACCAGTACTAATACCATATTTCTCCCTTTTTGATGAATGAGAGTCAATAAAGGAAGAAGAAGAAGAATCCTGATCAGATCAATCACTCAACCACTTCCTAGTGAATTACAATAGGACAAATCTATTATACAGCACCTATGACATCACTTCCTGTTTGACACCATCTGCCAAAACCCTTGTGGTCAGAGTGCCTGATGATCCATACATCCTCCAATGTTGCATGCTAACACATCCCCATTACCTTGTTGCGGTGCTAGTAGATCCCATATAGCCTTACCTATTTCATGGCAAAAATCTGATGTTCCAAAAATACCAGTTATGTAACGTTAACCCCCATGGTGGTACATGATGCACCAGGCAATGGGATTTTATTTTCTCAAATTACATAATTTCTAACACCCTGATGCATCCAACACCACTGTTGAGGTATGCTGACATGTATATCAATATGCGGGACTGTAAAAAAATCAAAGCACCACGCTATGAAAATGTGGATAGGAATTCAAAATATTGTTTTAACGACTTTTTGATAAACAGAAACAATAACAGCAGAGAATAGCACCATTGTGAATCGGGAGGAGAAACTTGACAAGCTCAGGGTTCATGCCATAATTTCGGGACGCGGTGGTGGGGTTGGGGACGGCTGGTACACTATATGCAGGGATAGATGCACAGGCCACACGAACAACACTGCAACCAGTCATTAGTGCATTATATGTAATGGGATAAAATGGCAAAATAATGTGTACAGAATTACATGCAGTGCAAAACCAAATTACTGGTTCAGATATACAAGTCTGACAGACCTGGCACAATAACAGTTCTATTAGACGGTGAAATGTCAAATTTGCCTGGGACAATTTTTGTTACACATGTAGATAACTCACAGTGTCTGTTTTCATTCAAATCACACATACATATTTCTTCTATTTTTGCTTTCGAAGGTAAAAATACAGAAAGAATCTCTCTAGCATACAGACATGAAAACTGAAGATGATTTTCACTCAATGGAAGTGAATTCCTTCAACCTGAATTTCAGCTGTTTGGATCCAGCGATTTCAAAGCTATTGTTGCTAAACCCTATATCATTTCAGGATGATGACCTTATAAGCACACAGAGATGTCTCCTACATTAATGATGAGTAAGATGACATGCATACATGATGCGCAGTAGAACAAGCAGGTAACTACGACCACTATACACCTGTACTGGGGCAGGAAAGGGGGCATACAAAGTTAGCACTAACAGCCCAGTGGTATTCTACATCACTAACTCATTCACCCCTGAAATTTCATAATGAACTAGTCCAACCTTTGCATTGGAAGAGTTTAAATGTGTCTTCAGGGCTGAATGAATCAACGTTTTGTTCATTAATGGGTTTTTACTGGGACAGGTAATCAGCTATGTTAATTGATTACAGAAAGGATATGATTGAAAATCAATATACGACAGAATGGATACATAGATACAGTAAAACCTTTAGATAATAGCCCTCATTTAATTTGCTAACTCGCTTACTGCCAACATATTTCAATTAACCCTTTGCCATTTTTCTGCACAGTTCCTTCATATTATCAATTGATATTATCCCCAAAATCTTTATATTGCCAAAATTTCACTTGACATATAGGGCAACAGTATTACAAGGTTTTACAGTAAAATGTAATGCAATGTTAATTCTGATAACTAGAGAAGTTGTTCAAATATGTTTGTTACAATGCTGATTAGGTATATGGAGATGAAAAGGACGATATATGAGTAGAAGATAAAGGCTATATCCCAAAGGGACATCACTCCATGAGATAATATTACATTCTCAAATGTTCACCACACCATAGCTGAAAAGGGACATAACTCCATGAGATAGAATCAGAACGAAATTTATAGCATTCTCAAATTTTCACCACAAATAAAGCACGAAAGGGAATAAATCAATGAACAAGTCAGTATATGAACAAGATACTGTAAAGAGTCATAATGCCGTATTTTATGAGGGAAACAGCGCCCTCTTCAAACGTCCTTGACCTCCTTCGGAACTCAGTCACAACATCGAGATAACAGTACTACAGGTCCTACAACGGATACTCACAGGCAAGAATCCAGGAGATGGGAGCTCATTTGAGTGTCTCCCAGACTTGTATCATTCAACCGGGACTCAGCCAGGGGTTGGGGGCCGGGCGATCGCCATAGATACGAGTCGTCAGCGCTAGTGATACTATTCATACTATTGGCCTGACTGCCGAACCTATACTGCTGGAACAGCAAAACAAAAACGACATGCACACAAAATGATTAAAACGCAACACAAAAGGACAATGAGGGTTGAAAGCCGTAAATGGTGAAAATTTGCCAAAAAAATATTTCAAAAGGAAATTCAAGGTTGTTAAACACAAAACACAAATTTTAGGACGTTTGCACCACTTCAGGTCATACGTAAGCTTGAAATCTGTAGCAGGACGAAAGCTGTATCAAACCACGGCCATGATGAGGTACAAACATTCACCTGCATTTTAATCTGGTCACCAAAATGAATATTTTTAAAGTTAAATATTGATCATGCATGCAATGAGTATATGAAACGTCCTGATATGAACAACAAATCACCATGCTGAGGATGCTCTAGTCTACATTTCACAATTACACAAACAACAAAACTGCCATGCAAGAGAATAGTCTGTTCTATGTCATGCCAACACGACACTGTTAACACACACCAACATCCAGCTGTTTCCATTAGCTTTTTAATTTTAACTGATGAAAATTTGTAATTTATCACAATCACCGCTAGCCTTTTTAAAAATTTCGGTTCCATCACACAGACAGTAATTGGATGTAAGAACACAACACATACTTTGAAAACATTTGAAGTCCCTGCAATTTTAATCAATTTGATGGTGGAACCAAGTCAATATGAAGTGAAATCAAACTTTACATTTTTTGTTGTAAAAATAAATTTTGTTGTATGAAATAATCATTATCAGTCAAAGATATGAAAATTCTCATATATTTTAAAATGTTAAAGGAAACAAATTCTATTTTATAATTCTACCTAAAAGCTAACGGGACTGGATAGATCTTACCCATGGTACTAAATGAAGTTACAAGTGTTGATACCCAACAACAGAGAAAGGTGAGATCAATGCTAATCCTATAAAGCAAGTGACAAGTGAGAAATGATGGATAAAACTAGATTAGAGGGCAGAGAGTCAGCAGGATCTCATCGACAGCGTGCACTTCACAACCTCTATTTGTGTAAACACCGACATTCCGTCAGAAATGCAAGTGATAAAATTTAAAGATTTGAGACCAAGAAAAAAAAAGCAGGGAGGACGTCGATAAGGAAAAGAAAGTGTCAGAGGGTGAGAATGTGGCAGAAGATGAAGATGATAAAAGCAATGTGCAGGTTAAATTAGAAGACGCGAAAGAAGAACAGATTGAAGGGCAAAGAAGGGAGATAAAGGGAAGGGAGAAAGGAAGAAGGGAAAAAGACAGAAATCAAGCTCCATCAGTGACACAATTATCACTGAGGTTAAACAGAAGGTCGGACCCCATTATCACTCTCAACTAATTCCAGCTCAGGATGAGCCGAACAGAAATTCCACACTTTGTAACAGCTGTTTTACCGGAAAAAAACAAACAATGTGCAGTATATGTAATTTAACGAGGCTGTTGTAACAGATGGAAGTGGTTAGTGGCGAAACCAGGCCATAACAGGGTGCATAGAATCACATAATTTAGTTAGTCATTAGTCCTAGTCACATCCCACTCAAACATCCCGAAAATCTCCCCAGCTCAAAACATCTAACCAGGGTATTAGCCTGATAAACAGGCATAATTAAAAGGTGGCATGCTCAGTTTTACTGCATTATACATGCATGTAGGCTTCATCCTGCACTATAAAATCTGCCACATGGATACATTAAATGTGTCAATAAGTGATTCTGCGGTGGAGAGATTCCGATCCGATATTACCTAAGCTGTTACATACATCCCTGGGCAAAACACTTACAAAGGCCTGCTAATGACTTCCTCGGCTGCTTCCATTTCTGCTTCACCTACATCACATCTTTAAACCTTTAACTTTGATTTAAAACATTTTTTTAATCACGAGCATTAATGGTTTCAGCAGATTTTCACGACTTTTTTCCCATTTCCCGAATGGGTTTGGAATTACTAGCAGTAATGGTTCACATACAGACTTTGGATCCAGGAATGCTTCGCTTATGTAATGTACAATCCGTGTATTACTGAAACCAGGGATATATTTGTTCTCAGAGATGGTTTGATGGAGATACAGCCTGTGTGACATATAAAGGATGCATTCTTTGTCGCCACCAGTTTACACCTAATCAACTCAACTTGCGTTAGGAAGCATTGGCTGTAACAAAGATCATCAGATTTTTTCTACCATAAATCACCTTTATCTGTTGGGATATATGTAATGTAGAATTTCCCCATGCAGTTATAAAATTATCTGGTACGCAACAATAATGATATCAGATTATCTCGTTATTGCTCCAGAATTATCAAATGTTCAAATTGTGTTATTAACTCATTCACCCCTGAAATTTCATAATGAACTATTCCAACCTTGGAATTGGAAGAGTTCAAATGTGTCTTCAGGGGTGAATGAGTTAACCCTAAGTAAGTTTCTTGGTAATATCAAAATTATAGCAGATAAGTGAATCATATTCCATAGGTTATACACATTTGAAACAATAAAAGGGCTGTTATACCTATTCCATAAATGTAATTACCTACAGCAACCTCAAGGTAATACCTACTATGTAAGTCAATGGAAGTACCAGATTCTTAATAAAAAAAATCAGCCCAATTTTTTTTATGGAATTTACCTACTGTAGTAAATTTTATTATTCAGATCAGTCAAATAATGTGATCCTGATATTAAATTCTTCTTTTCTTTAAGAACTCTAGCTAATTATACCAGTTTGTATTGTCCTCTATGTTCTTTATACACAGGTTAGCACTCTTACCAGAATGAGTCTAACTGAAATCAGTTTAGTATTTTTGTATTTACATATATGATAGTTAAAATTCTTACGAAAACATCTTCATGACCTTGATTAAATACCGCCAAGATTAATGGCTATCTTCCTTGTTATCAGTTCTGGGCAATCAAAGTGTACGGAAGTTTACCATTTTTTTCCCCTCCATTTCATCATTATCAGACATGTCATCAACGTAAATGTTGTGACTCAAATGATGTCTGTGTATATTATCTCGACAGAACTAGGGTAAGTCAACAGCCCCACAAGTAAACCAACATCAGGTTAAGAGATTATGTCCTTTTAAATCTCATGTGATATACCTAGAATTTATCTAACCTATCAGCGATCATTTATTTAAGGAAAAGATAACCCACGGTAGACCCAGCACAACTTGAATTACCGGATTAAAACGTAGGCTTTCTTCTGAAATTTTATATCCTTCATTTCTGTAACTTAAATTTGAATGTACATGATGACAATTGTAATCTGGCCTTGTATATACAGAATGTCAGTGACTCACTGCAGGGTGCCAGAACAATAATAACAAATGTTTTCCACTTTTCTGTTGGAACAAGTGACACACACTGACAGTCTGTACAATGACCATACTTAAACTTGAGTAGGTCAAATAAAAAGACAATGGTGGAAAAAAGAAATCTCATCCCACAGAGCTCTAGATCTTTAGGTGAAATATTTCAGTTACAGAATATATAGCTTTGCTCGGGTTTTTTCAATTGCATCTGCCCTTTGACCTCATCACCAGTAGGACTTGCTACCAGATGGATGAGTATATATACAAACACCCCTCACCACACCTGTACATCCATCGCAAGTTGACTCTCACACAGTATTAACCCTTTCACCACTGTAGACCAAAATGGACTCGTCTAGATCAATGCATGGTAGAGTTCACTAAAGTTACGTAGGGGTGAAAGGGTAAACTTATGCATTTAATAAAACAAGTACAACAGAATATCATGAAAGATTTGACAGGGTAGTTAAATTGTCACAGATGCCCTCTCTAGGAGCAACAATAAGAAAAGTTGACAGGGTAGTTAAATTGTGACAAAAGATTTGACAGGGTAGTTAAATTGTCACAGATACCCTCACTAGGATCAACAATACTCTCTAATCCATGCGGTCCTTGACAGGGTGAGGGTGTTGAACCATGCAATTATAATGACGTGTCACTAATTTCATTACTACTTTACATGTTAACTCATTCACCCCTACATATCTAAACTGGACTTGCCCGGTCATTGATTGGGTAAGGTTCAAATGTGACTCTAGGGGTGAATGGGTTAACTCATTCACCCCTGAAGTTTCATAATGAGCTATTCCATCCTTTGAATTGGAAGAGTTCAAATGTGTCTTCAGGGGTGAATAGGTCAATGAACACGTGAGAGGCAGTATTATTACAACACTCAGTAGGGCTATACAGTATCTGACACATTCCCATGCAGGCACTGAAAAAGAATCATGTGTACCTCTGAAAAAGAAGGCAGAAAATAACACTACAATAAACAGGCAACAGACGTAGCCAACCAAGGCTTGGTCGGTGCCGATGTTGATGACCCAGTATATTATATAGACAGTAAATAGACAGCAATAGTAAAGATACCTCCAATACAAACATAATCCCGATCGTGTAAGGTGATTTTCCCACGCCACAATCAACAGAAGCGGTGGCTCTATGCCATGCCTGGCTCTGTGACTTATGTTACACAACTTTTGTTAGACTGTTGTGGAGTGTCAGACTCAATATTTATCTTGGTCATTTGCATACAAGCGAGATACAGGTCAAGCTGGAAACCAATACATTCAGTACATAAAACAAACAAGCACTCTCAGCATAGAACAGGTAGAATCAATTTTTCTAATATAATTCAAATGGAATCTGTAAATATGATTTAAATGGAATCTGTAAATATGATTTAAATGGAATCTGTAAATATGATTTGAATGGAATCTGTAAATAAGTCACATTACAATGTTTGGAGATGGTCACACTCATGTAATAGTGTAATAACACCCTGTGTTGAGACTGTGTCCCCTGTGAATAGCCTATGGTAGCTGATAAGTAGAGCAGGGTGTTAATTGTAGGTGTGGGATAACCAAAGCTTTACTATCTTTACCGGTGGCACCTAATCTAAGGTGTTAAATGTCGGTCACTGGAATACCTGGTGGGGCAGGGGGCTAAAGGTGCTGAACGCAAATGACGCTAATTATCGAAAAGTTTATATAATCTTTTTCTTATTTCTGATTACCACCACTGAAAACAATCAGAGGCTAACAACAAAATGTACCTGATAAGATTTTTAAGGAAAGGAACTAAATACGGGTAGCCATAGGCAATAGCTTCCATGACTAGTCAATCTCTATCTCAGTTTAAAGTACTAAGTACCTATACCCCAGGCAAGTACCTATCTTTTGATCGTTACTGGATTACAATACTGTTGACGTTACGTCACTGTATATATTAAAGAACTCAACAGAAGGTTAGGTAACTTTACTAATAAGGTAGGTATATAGATTTACCACCCTGCGTATTCCGTTACCTTGCTACGTGTAGTAATGAGTGGGTACTTGGTACTTTCCGTGTTGTTTATAAGACTCTTTAGCAGTAAAGGTAAGGTTATATAATGGCAGCTTATCTGAACAAGTCCCTTGACCAAACGGTGTCATAACTTGACCTAATTTTACGTGATCAGTGGCACTCAACTGGACAATGCCGAAATTTCATATGGAGACATTTGTAATGGTTAAAACCTGTATATTTACACCTGTCAAGTAATAGAAATTATTACCAAAACTTTTGTTTTCAAATGCTTCCTGTGTGAGTCAACACATTTACTGATGAAATAGGACTTGTCAAGTCTAGCCTTACAGCAGAATCACCTGAACTTGTTTTCGGACCATTAGAGTCGAGATTGAAGAGGTTTTTATGACCGAATAGGTCTCCGAGTTAAGTAGGTTCTGAGTTGGAATGTAGATCACCGGACCCACAATGAGTAATGTGTGTTTGGGTTTTACCAGCACCTCCGAGTGTCTTCCAAGTGTGTATTTATATACCATCAGATCGCAATCGTACACCTGTCGATATCCGCTGTAGTACATAAAACATAACATTACCTCACACACAAGTACACAGGCCATTGTGTCTGGCCCCTGCAGACATATATACACACTATGCCGTTTATACCTGTAGGCTAAGTGTTCTGGCACAGTGTCTGCTCGGCTTGTCCTGATGGATTTAATATAAGCACTGCTTGTATACTATGTTACCATATTTTTTAATAAAGATTGTTGTTTCAACCTATCCATGTCTAATGTTTCATCGGTAACTTAATTTTTTCTCAATTTCACTGGAACATTGTTGTATACCTATTATATCACCTTACCTCATTCACCCCTGAAGACACATTTAAACTCTTCCAATTCAAAGATTGGAATAGTCCATAACGAAATTTCAGGAGTGAATGAGTTAAGTATTTTTATGTATCGGCCCCATATAAATGCAAGCTATTTTTGTATCTATTTCACCTAATTACCATGCTACCTGTAACGTCATGCCTATTCAACACCCGGTAATCCATATCATTAGACTTTTTTTTTTACATCAGGTAAAATGACAGATTTTAACATCTACCCCATGTCAACTCCATCCTATTTCTCCCTATGTGTTTATTTTATTTAATGTAGACATCCTGTATTTTACAATCCTGTACTCGTTTAAGGTGTGTAGAGTACTGACTTACCTGTCAAATGAAATCACAGGTGCCAGATGAGTTTTGTTGTTAGCATATTTATAGCCTGTCTAAGGTCTTTCCTTTCCAAGATTTTCCCCCAAAATTCACCCGATTCTTTCCCTAATTCTTACAGTTAAAAATAAATATTTCTATCTCATTTCCAAATTATACATACTATATACATATCCCTTCAAGGGTTTATACATATCACTTCAAGGGTTTATACTTGTCTTAAAACACATACTACAATGTTTTGCTTCTGTTGTTATGGTCTATGAAAATAAAATATTTTCCCAAATTTGGTAAAAAGAAAATGCTGTATTTTCTCAATCAAAGTGAAAAGGGTACAGGTATTTGGGACGAAATGTAGAACAGTTACCTGTTACATATGAACAGTGACAGCCTTACCTAACGCCCCTTATCTCAAAAGTGTTTTTACATGCTGTAACTTGATCTTTATCAGTAGGATTTCTTCAGGTGAAAATTAAAATATTTATTGATGAGGTTCTGACAGTTAATTGGACAAGAAGCAGGATCTTATCGCAATTGACGGGGTTTAACTCCATACATTTCTTGACTTATTCTAGGAGATGGTCATGTATATGTGCTACTGTTCAAAGTTGTGTTGTATCACACTATTTTTAATGGACCTTTTGATGTAAACCTGTTTTGGAGTGTAAAGTTCAGGTGTGATCCTGACAGGACCGGAAGGTGTGTTATTGATTGCAATTGCCTGACCATCGTCCAGCAGTGTCAGAGTAAAGTCTGGCTCTACCTGACAGCCGACACATTCACACTTGATATATTCCTTTGTCGACTTACCTGGTCGTGTTGTCGAGCCAAATTCTCTCGTTCCTCTTCCAACTTTTTTGTTAATCTTTCGAACTGGACTTCCTTTGGAATAAATCAAAAACACACCACATTACCGTAACACATCCATATATTAGAATCACATAATTTCCAGTAAATTACATAATCCACGTGATGTCACACACGGACAGCTGTACACAGACAGGTAAAAACTACAGGCATATGACTAACACTCGTAGACACATACAGGTGATATAGACGCGGACATATCGGCCGTTGGTATGTGATGTGGGAGTGAAGTTCATTCATTACACACATACCAGGGACCAAGGGACTGTCTACACTCAACTTCTATTATCATTGTTTATATTAGGGAAAATATGTTGATTGAAAATGAACGTTTTAATACACACAATCCGAAGATTGGTAGTAATATACAGTCGTGTTCAGTCAACCGGAACATTTTGAGAAGAACTGGTTTAACAAGACATCGACGAAATCCCAGAAAACAACATTGTGACCCTGGGCTCGCTCAACCATGCAGCGTACACTGCCGTTTTTGTGACAGTCCTAATGATCTACCATTACATCAAGTAGACTTCATTCGTAATCTGTCAATACCGTGAGCATTGTAAACGTTGTATATACATCCCAGGAATGTTACCCTACCACACTGACGAGTGATGTGTTAATTTGGTTTTACAACACTGACATAATCCTAGCCTTAATTGTTATAACAGCAATCCCAATTACTCAAATATGTCCCTGCTTTAGATAATTAATTACATTTCAAAGCATATTAAGTAACACAGGCAAATATTTCCATTGAATGGCTCTGCATGACAAACTTTAGTCTTATATAACAATGATACAACACTGAACACTAAAACAAGAACGGAACCCTTTTTTTTTTAGAACATTAATTTCGTACATTTTTTTTCTTCTAAATTGTTTATTAATTAAATAGCCATGATCTTGCAATGGTAAAAAGATAAATTCAATAAAATTTGAAGTCTTTTTGTTCACAAGAAGATTTTAAAAGATATTGTGAACAAGTCTCCGTTTCTGTTGATTTTATCTAAAACTAATATCCTATACTACATAACCTTAACCCATTCACCCCTGAAATTTCATAATGAACTATTCCAAACTTTGAATTGGAAGAGTTCAAATGTGTCTTAATTCAGGGGTGAATGAGTTAACCTAGGAAATCTGTTTCTCTATATATGTGAAGACAGAATTATGAAAATATGGAAGAAATAGGCATAACGGGAGTGATCAAAGTTATTGATCCTCGGTGAGTGAACAGTAAGAGAGATCATTACCACATTCCTCAGGAATTACCCCATTCACAATCTACCCACCACATAAATTCCAGTAGACTGGATAAGACTTATCTTTTAACATCGAGGGCCGAATTCTTCGACACATTGGCAGCTTACACATGTATATATTTGAATGTTTCAAAAAAGTTCGAAACACAAAACATGTATGGGGAATCTACAAAGCTGTTCTAAGATAGGAAGAATTATTATCATTTTATATCTTCAGTCAGCTGGAAATTGTCTGAATTTGCAAACAAATTATGTGGAAGATTGCAGTTCATATGTATACCAATGCAATATTGTTAAGCTGATACAAGCTGACAGGCGAGTTCAATCCATCATTTTCATGCATTTCCTCACAAATCTTCAAACTGGACCTAAGTCTCAAATTTGAATTCAAGCAACCGTCTAATCTGGCATAAATTTCTCGATTTTGTTGAAAATCTTTAAGTCCTACCAATCCTACCAGAACTTCTTACGTCTGTTCACAGTTTAAATGTACCTTCGTCGGTAGGACAAACTTCCCCGTGTCTACCTTATACTTATAGATCTTTTTCAAAAGAGCTGAGCCAGGTCTATTTGGGTAAAATAAAAATTGCCGTCGCCATAAATTTGCTGTCATTCAGCATCGTGATGTCAATTATAGGACTTGTACATTTTGGGACTGACAATAATTAAAGTTCCAGCCCTACATTCATGGGGAACACTTTCTTTCCTAGGAATGCACAGTGGTAGGGAATATTTTCTTTCCTAGGAATGCATTATGATAATTTGTCAAATTGCTGCGTTGCTAATACAACCTACACAAAGGATTATCTGTCTCTGCTTAACCATAACTATAAGTAAAGAGAATTATCATTGAGATGTGAAAATACATTAATGAAATTGATAAATTTGAACTTTTAATTCTATAATGTATATATTTACAGAATCATTTCTATTTTACATTCTTGACAGTTGTATGAGCGACAAGCATCACTTACAATCAACCCTCATTGCCACTCAAGTTTTGTGAAGGGGCATTATCTAAAATGTTCCTTCTCAATTCTTTTCATTACTTATGAAATTTAAAGTAAAAAACTGCATGTGCCAAGATTTTAAATGATCAATCATGAAAACATCTACACCTTTTCAGATTATACAATAAATCTTTAAAATTTCAGTTAAAGGCCTTTTAATTTTACAGCACTTCAGACAACTGGCCTTGAAAATGATGAAGTAAAATTTCACGACCATGTTGCAGTAGAAACAAGTTCTCCAAGTATTGTGCTTTGTTGTTCCATAATACGTTAAAAACTGCTGACATTACGCTGTGCATATCTGGACTTGTATTGAATACAAATCTAACTCTGTGTGAAGTCGTAGCTCTGGTATTAACATGTCTTTCAAAAGAAACTTTTTAAACTTTTGAATTCAATACTTAATTCCTTTCACTAAAAGGCTCGTAAATTAGTTTTAATGAAATAGTCAAAAGATCAGGGTCAAAAAACAGCTCAAAGGTGGATTAAATGATTGCGAATTAAACTAGGAAAATAATACAATAACTGTATTCAATAGGACTTGGGATTGTTAGCAATGTGACTCTATGCAGTCGAGCAAGGAAACCTTACACAGACATTGTGTGAATTACTTATATTTACGTTTCTACTTCTGGCATATACTTATTCATTTGCACCTTACAAGTCCTCAAGGCAACACCTGAACTGAAAAACTATGTACCTGTATATCAGTATATATATATATATATATATATATATATAGGCCTGACCCACTTGTTGTGTTGTCCCAATCATACAACTCATAATCTATACCTCCGCGACAACAGCTTTACTGTACTATATACTATTGTACACACTGCTGATCAGTCAAGTGTCATATTGAAGTACACCCACTGTAATGTATACTATATATGTGTGCGTGGAGGCGTGGCCGGTCATGAATGAGTGATCACAGGTATGCGTACCTGTGCCTTGACGGTCTTTAGAATGCTGGCCGCAGACTCGTTAGCATTGTAGGATTGGTCAGCGGAAGGGCGGTATGGGGATTGTTGTATTATGTAGCTGTCCTGGTCAGTATGCCCCGAAGGCATCTCCGGTCCATCAACAGTCAAACACCAATCAGTTCTGGTCACTTCCTACTGTCACCTGTAATAGATAAGGATACCTGTGTCATTTACACCTGCTGCTGACCAGGTGTGGGTACTTGTTGTTCACCTGTACCACACCAATAAAACCTTGCATCAACATAACCCCTCTAGATCTGCCCAACTAACAGTTGGTTGAATTAACCCTTCCACCCCTATGTAAACTTTAGTAGACTCTACCATGCATTGATCTGGACGAGTCCATTATGGTCTACAGTGGTGAAAGGGTTAATCTAGCAACACTGAAGCTAACAAGCTGCAACTAACAGCAAGACAGAGATCTAGAGATGATGTTGATGGTTACTTACTAGGTAACTTTAGTAGACTCTACCATACATTGATCTGGAGGAGTCCATTATGGTCTACAGTGGTGAAAGGGTTAAGGTACATTTGGCAGGCTATATGGTAGAGTCTACTAAAGTTACCTAGGGGTGCAAGGGTTAAAAATGACGATTATAGACAATATTTAATCAGACTTAATATCTACTTTTACCTCTATTTATTTTTTCTCTTGACAACACAATCAAATAAAACATCTTATAACTGACAAATATCAGACAGGTCCTGGTTTAGCTCAGATGAGCTTAAAACACATTTAGCATGCCATGTATAAATTAATTGTTTAAAAATATATATCAAATTACATTTTTTTATATATTTTTGTTACAGATAATAATTTGTGAACCGCCTTGAGACGCCCTACGAACTAGGTTGTGATAAAACGGTATATAAGAACCTCCAAATATTATTATTATCATTTTACTGCATACTTCCCACCTCTCACAATGGAAAAGTGTGGGCAATAAATCACTTGCTACCACAGTCCACTGCACACATAATCCCCTTTCAAGGCCAATCATGATTACATGACCATGGAAGGGGGTGTGCACAGTGGACTGTGGCCACAAATGCTGTAAGAAAGGGGAGATAATCAATCAGTGAGTAATGATGAAGTCAATACAGTGGAAAGGATAAACTTAGTTGACACATTTAAAATAAGGGGGAAAAAAA